CTATTTATAAAAATTACTTTTGTGGATCAATGACGCTATATTGTTATAAACTTTCAAATATCATATTAACTTCGATTATATTAATTTTAAAAATTACAAATTTATTTCACAGAAAAAATTATATTAATTTTATAAGGATTATTGTGTAGCAGCGTATACGTATATGGTTTGTAAGTGTAAGAATCTTTTGTATCCCATACAAAAGGTTGAGTCAAAGAGTGAACTCTTATGCAGTTGGGTATAACCTGGCAGTTATGCCAGCTGTACAGTTACTTAATTTGCCGGCGGGCGTGATGCATAATATGTACATACGGGTACCAACCCAAATAAAAGAATTACTTTATTTCGATGAGTCCTACCTGTTCCAATTCTTTTATGAATACTTTTTCTATTGAAAATGGTATGATAATTACATACCATTCACATTAAAATTTATTTGTAAATGTTCCCCGTTGGCGACACTTGGAACATTTAGAAAAATAATATGGAGATATGAATATTCAAATATCCAAATAAAAATGTTTTAAACATAGTAAATTTAGTGTCAACAGTTAAAGTATATACCATAAAATATAGGTTACCTAGACATTTTGCATAAGAAACGTTAGAAAACTAACTTTTCCTTCGTCCAGAGGGCACTAGTGAAAAAAATTACTCGTTATTTCAATTCAAATAGGTTATAATATAGAATGTACAAATAATGACATACGTATACATTTTATGTCATATATATTTAAAGAGTTTATAATCTAAAATATGCAAACATTTACTTACAGGATATTCCACTTAAAATAACTTTCGAAACTATTATACGAAATAAGATACGAAAAAGTTATACGTGATTTGATGTGAGGTTATACGAATGTCAACTTCATTCTTTTAAATAAATTCATATATTTTTTAATGAATTGAACGAGGCAATTCGTTATTCTCTACATAATAGTACTAAGCCACTTACAGTGAAAAATCATTGGTTTAGAAGATATTTTAATATTAACATTGAGTAGTAGGATTGATATTATTCCAAACGTTTCTTCTCCTTTTTTTTTAAATTGGGGATTTTACAGTTCCTTCAACTACTTATCGACTTTTGTTTGAAACATTTTCTAATATCATCGTTTAGTATCATATTTTCGAAGATATTCCAGTGATTTTAATGGAACACCCGATATATTTTATATCATATATTTAGGTTCGTTACAATGTAAAGTGCGTAAGATATTATTTTATATTTTTAATGTTGTATATACTATGTTATAATATCTAATATAAACGGGACCGATATTGTGTAGTAATATTGGAATTAATTATAACAAATATAGTCGAATATTTATATCATGCGTTTGCGCGGTAATTTCGAATGACACATTCATCAGCAGATTAAAATGTATTGTAGAAACTCACCCTCGTGTTTGCGTACTATATTCGTCTCCAGCTGTTTGAAAAAGCTTTCACGATTATCTTTCGTTTCTTCAACTTGACAACGATTGCGCATTCTATGCATCCGGTATTTATGCATACTTCTGCATATTCTTTATGAATATACATGCCATCATTTGCTCTATGAATAATAGGTTAAGAACGATCCTCTGTACCTTTCAGTTCGATTTCAAACTTTTTCACTGTCGTCTCTCTATTACTGCAATAAAAGCGAAAAGAACAAGTAGTAAACTAAATTAGAATATTATAGTAGACTATAAAAAGCGAACTGAGTTACAATTTAATAACAATTTTTTAAAATCACATTTTGGTACTTTAAAAACTATTATGTTAACAAATACACGAATCAATAATATTTTGCATTATTTGATACAATTGTTTACACACACTACATTCTAACCAATTTTTATATATAATATAAAATATTTATAAATTTGTAACATTGTCAATTATTGATATTGAAATATATATAAATGTTTATATTTGCTATATTATAACCTATCTGAATTAAAATAACGAGTAAATTTTACAATCGTCGCCCTCTGAATGCGTGAAAAGTTACTTTTCTTTCTAAAATCTACATAACCTATGTAATGTCTTACATACACAATGTCTACATAACCTACATTTCATGTAGTTTGACTGTTGACACTACAGTTTAATTAATATTACGAAAATAAAAAATAATATATTATTATTTTCAGTACATTTTATATAGACGAGAAATGCATGCGGTTTATTTTAAAACGATACGTTCTATTATTCCACGAAATGTAATGAATTATAAACTTTTCTTTCTTGGAGGTAGTTTTTTCTTTGCAAAAAGCACATAGTAGTGAATGCAAAATTCATTTCAAAGGAATGTAAAGCCGTTACCAAGAGTTATCGATTATCTGTATTGTTCATCGAATGAAGATGGGTGGGTCGAGAAACCACAAATCTCATGCTGAGGCGTGATATGACCTCTCAGTTATGCTGTGCGGGATTAGCTAAGAAGAGCACACCGGCATAATTCGCCCTCGGATCAATGCTCATCATTCTTTCCTACTTTTATTATTAAAAGTTCCCTTATTGTTATGGAATACTGCTTCTCCTTTCTTTTATTATACGGACGGTAAAGACATATCTATTCGGTATAGATAGTTGATGCACAAGTTACGTAACCCTAATCGTAGTAGAATGAAAGTTCCACAATCTACAAATCTACAAAACACGTACCAATTTGTCCAATGCTTTTGAAAATATTTTGTAAAATTTTTAGCGAACATGATGCAAAACTACTAGTGCGAATATCTTTTATATAAACATTAAAATTAAGGATGTTTCGATAGAAATTCTATATTTATCTCTTTTTATTTTTTTATATAATTTTTTTGTCTTTCAATTCTTATCGTTAGTTTAAATACGACAACTCTATTCGAATAAATTTATTTACGAACGATAATGAGATTAACTTAAATAATTAATTTGTATTAAAACATTTCAAACCACGATATTAGTTACAAAATTCATCAAAACATCAGATGAAGATTTGTTGGACCTCGTGAACATTAGGAATATGTTTGGTTACAATAACCTTTCTTAACTTTCTCCGCTAGGTGGAGCGGACTGTCAATATGCTGTCACTGCACTAGAGGGTACTAAAGATATTGACGTATGAATATATAAAATTCGACATTTTTAAATCATTTAAATCGTTTAATAGCTAATAAAATGTCATGTGGAATATTTCAAAAGAAGTTATTACAAACACAGACTTAGATTATAGGTTTAATAATAGTAATAGGATTGCATTATGGTGCAAACAAACAATGCATTTTTTTAACCATTTTTTTTTGCATTATTGTTAGTACATGGTATTACTTCCATTATCTTTTGATGATATTATATTTTAAAGAAATTAAACGGGACTATTATAACCATTTAATTGTAAACTAATGTAAAATTTTGACTATGAATATCTTCAAAAATTTAAAAACCTATTTCTAGAGAGTTCCCAATGTTGAATGATTATAGTTATCGTCGTGATACATTAGCTAGCTCTTAAAATTGGGTAACTATAGTCACCTTTATGATTCACTAATGAGCTTTCAATATTGGGTAACTTCAATCACCTTTAGGCACTAGTGAGTTCTCAATATTCGGTGATGATAATCTGTTTTATGGTTCACTAGTGAGCTCTCAATATTGAGTAATTATGGTCACCTTTAAGATGCGTTACTAAACTCTTAATATCGGGTGACTATAACATCTCATGACAATGCAAGGGTGAAAACAACAATAGAAAAAGGAGGAAGTTTTACTGTATCTGTTGATCTTTCTCCGAGCTCTCTTTTCCCTTACCACAACGACATGAATATTTAATGGAGTGGATAGCACTAGTTGAATAGGTAACACAAAACAGTGCTAATGTATGTAAATGTGACACGTAATCGTTAGAAAACAGTTTCATTCGTAACATCTTTGAATTGAAGAAAGTTATTTTACGACCTACCACTACATAACCACTGGTTAACCAAGCGTAATAACTTATAACTACCAGTCTCTTCCTTCTGATTACGCAGAAGTTTTTACGATACTATCATTCACGTAAGCAATTTACACTTGTCAATGTTACCATAGCACTAGAAAGACCGGAGGGGCGGATGGTATGCTCGAGTTTCTCCATTTAGGCAATGTCAAATATTGAAATAATAAAATACATAACGAAATAAAATATAATTTAGCGAAAGTAGGATGAGTTTATAGTAGTTGCAAATATTGCGTAAAATGCAATCAAACATACATATAATGGTGTGCGAAGAATATACGAGGTCAAATTTTCATATACGAGTTCTGATTAATTTGAGAAATTATTTTTAACTTGTACCTAGAACATCATTTTTTACGTAATTAAAAATTATTAATAAAGAATCTAATGTAAAAAATTCCATATTTGACATTTAAAATTATTAATATCCATAAAATATAAGAACAAATATTTTCAAATAAGCATTGCGCTATTTTAGTAAATTTATAAAATTTTAAGTATTTTAATATTTCGATATTACAATTCCTTTACTAAATGTATTTTATTTAATAAAAAATTTAATTAAATATATTCAAGTTAAATATCTTACATTAATTATTCTGAAAAATATATGTACTTATATAAATTAAATAACTCCGATATTAAAACTTTTTAATATTGAAAATTAAATCTTCAAACAAAATATTACACGAGATTTAATATTTAATATTATAATTTTTTAATAGTAAGAATTAAATTTCATCTAATACTTTAATATTCCCCATTTTTTCGACTGAAACTGATAAACTTGGATGGACTTGGTAGACGCTCCATCATTAAATTTATTAGATAACGATTGAATCAATCTTTCTAGAGTTAATCCAAAGTTAGACTCGCGTGTAGCAACACTCATCTCTCAGGAAAGGACGTCAAAGTGTGGTGTCATTGTCATAACAATGTATAATATTTTAAATGTTTATTACTATATACCTATTATGAATAAAATGTGCATAATTTAACAATGTGTAGGGACGTTGTTTAACAATGTCAATCAATTTTCTTCAACTTTTGGTGGATGCGCTCTGATGTAGTCGATGGCCCTTTGGATCAATGGAGAAATAGCCGGGATATGTTCACCTTGGGGTTGAAATCCATTGTGATCAGCAATGTATGTTACGCTGATAGGAGTACCATCGGGGGATGTGTATTGGTATTGTCCTTGGGTAACAACGACAGGTGCGCTCCTTGCTTCCGTAAGTACTACACTTCCATTTTCAGAGCGATAAATTCCATTGTCGGTTTCGTAGGTGTAAGAATAGGATCCATCAGGCAATATATCTTGCGATTGCCTGACTATAGCCGGTGGTGGAGACGGAAGTAGAGCGGCTGAAGCAATGCCGAAGACAGCGACAGAGAGTACCACCTAAACAAATTAAAATTTTTTATATGTGGCGTAAAACGATTTTCTATTTGTAAAGATTTCAGTTACAATGTCAGGTGCATGTGTATATTTCGAAAGCGTTTAAGTTAGAACAAGGGAGTATGATCGAAGAATGAACTTGAGTGAAGAGTCGATGTGTCAATTAGACGTGATCAAATATTTTCCAGGAATATGCTAGTGATAACGAAAGTTTGGTTAAGAAATCTAAAAGAAAATTAGTGTCTGTTATTAATTTATTTTCAATAATGTAAAGGTCTGTTTAGGTGCAAGCAAAAAATAGGTTCGTTGAATTGAGTTTACAATTGTGTCGTAATTAACTGTATAATTTATTTGCAGATAAAACTTGAAACATTTCAACTTAGAAACATTTCAGAGAATTTACTTCATATGAAAATTAAAGAAAATTATTTTTTTATCGAAAAACAGAAATGTAAGAAATGTACGCTGCTCAAATAAATAACGATGATTCATCTACAACTTCGCACTACTGGTTGGTTCTAAGATCAGAAGGTGATATAATTAACGATTAACTATTCGCAAAAATTTTTTCATTTCATAATGTTTCTACAATTGATTTTTAATTAGAAGTTACTTTAATACGTGAAATCATTTCAGTGAACGAATATAGCATATGCATAACAAGTTATAGTAATTAATAGAATAAAAACGAATCTAGGTGCACGTAATGTAGCGAAAGAGAATATGTACTATATGTAGATAAAGACTCACTAGAAATTTCATTTTGGAAGAGAGGTGATCGCTACTAGCCAAATCCAATGGAGAGCACTATGAGTTCAAATGTGGTTCCTGAGTAACATGATTGTGCTTTTATACGAATCCCTGGACATCACTTTCCCCAAATGTCATGCTATCCGAAAAAGAAGAAGCTACAGTTTGAAGATGCAGGAGAGAGTGAGAGAGGAGGAGAGAAGAAGATAAAAGTAACCAGACAAGTAAAAAGAACTCAGCAAAATTTATTCTCCGATTTGACATTTCCATGTTGTCCAAATCGATTGCTTGTATAATCCTGTATATAAGGTTATTTTTTTCACTACTAAGCTATTTTGTTCGTGGTATCGTTACAAAATCGTGTATGATTTTTATGGTGTTACACGTGTGATCCAGTATGGTGTAATAATGCAAATATTTCTAAATATATACAAGGTGTCTAGAAAGGTTGGGACCAAGCTTACGTAGAGTACGTGTTACCAAGGTCAAATAGATGAAATAAAATGCATATAAACTTATGTCCGGAAATACTTCGTTAAAAAGATATAGGCCTTTAAAGATATTTGAGATTTTTTGTGACACTTGTAAGAAATATTTGAAAATTCTCTCCCCCCCATCAAAAGAAAATTCTTTATTGAGAATTTGTATTACGTATACGATTCTCTACTTTTTAATAAAGCCTTTTCGGACATAAGTTTGTATGAACTTTTTTCATCCCTTTAACCTCGGTAATACGTAGCCTTAGTTTGGTCCCATCCTTTTTGGACACCCTGTACAGCTGTTAATATAAGGCATAAAAGGATTTGACAGTGAGATTGATGACAGGTTAGAATTCGGATATTTCAGGATTTATTTCCTTCTTTAACATAATTATAATTTACACTCATTTTTAACATTGCGTGTCGTATAGTTTTAAATTAATATTACAGTATAATAAAAATACAATGGATGATAAATGGTAAATATTACGTAATAAATAATAAATAATTGATATTAAATAGTAAATAATAAATAATAGATAACAAATAACAGATAATATATAATGGGAAACAGATAACGGATAATACTATAACAAGTAAATTTGTATATTTCTACAACGTTTAATTTAATTAACTATTATAATTACAAAATATTAGTGATTTATGAATTTGATGATTTATGCGATAACTGTGTGAATCGAAGTGTGTTTTACCAAAACGTTGGTAATGTGTTCAACATTAATTATGCAATCGCAAAAATATGTGATATGTCTGGAAATATTATTACGTAATAACCTTCTCATTCTTGAGTATCTCTTTCGTCTGTGTTGAAGATGACCTTTTTTCGGAGGTATAAAAATAACTTTATAGGTTTTAAATGTGTATACAATGATTTCCAATTAGCTAATAAGTTTAAAAAATTGCAGAAATCTCACACAATATAGCAAAGGGAATAAAAAGGAAAAAAGAAAATTGCAATAAATTAAAGGAACTTTATTGATTTTTGATAATTAGTAAATTAGATAACAAATCATTTACGATGATTATTACGTACACGCATAAAATGATTGATACAATAATGCATTCAATTTTCTAACATTTTGGAATAATGTGATAAAAAAAAAATTATCAACGAAAATTAATCTATTTCTGGAATACATTTTCATAAAGAAACTAAGACTTTGGTGAATCTTTCGAATGAAACCATATGTTGGAGAACGTCGTATGCGAATCAAAAATATTCATAATTTGCATACTTCTATAAATTTTATGGAAATATGATCGCTGCGAGTGATATTTCACAAAAATTGTATTCGTTCCAATGCCTTCTTTCATATCATAGAAAAAAACTTATAATTAGGAGAAAGCAAGATACAACCGAATAATACATTTCTTTCGCTGGCAAAAGGATCTAATGACTAAAACACAATCTTTGAATACCACTAAAAAATTTTAGAACATAACAATTATTTTATGTTAAAAAAATTTTTTGGTTCAAGGAAAAATACAAATTTTTAAGGAAGTTACATCATTTGATTTTATCACAAAAATAGATACAAAACCGAGTACATATTTAAAATCATGTAAATTCAGTAATGTATAAATTTAATATTTATTGTAATGTCTAATAATGTTGGTTTATTGCGATAAGATTTTTTTTAAAATTCTATAAAGCTTAGAAGCTACAACGCTAAAAAGACAAATGTTATTTATATCTCTGATTCCCCGTATTATTATTATTATTATTATTA